GGCCAGCTCCCACAGGTAGCGAGGGGTGTATATCAACACACCCAGGAGACCCCCCCCCCCCATTCTCCTGGGAGGGCCCGGGTTCCAGTGATTGACAGGCCTTGCTCTGGCACCATTGGTGGGTGCGTGGCTGAGGTCGGCCAGTCAGAGCATCAGAGTGTCCTGGACCCCATGACAGGTTCAGGGCCCAGCGAGGCTCAGGTCCCTGGCCTCAGTGGGATGGCTCAGAGAGGAGGTGGCCTTTCAACTGGTCAGAGCTGTGGTGAGGTTCGCTAGGCACCCCAGGGGCCACTGGGAGAGAGAACCTGCCCGAGAGTGAAAATGCAATCCTGAATGTCCTGGTGACATTGCTGGAGTTCCTGGAAACGGCCAGGCCTGAGGCGGGACATGACCGGACTTCTTAGTTTCAAGAACCGGTTTCTTTTTCACCAAAGTCAGTTTGACTGGGGCTTTAAGCTTCTAAACTCAGAGACCTGGCTGAAGGAGAGGAAGAAAAGAAAGAGAAGACAGAGAATAGAAAAGTGGAGAAAGGCCGGGGCCAAAGTTGGGAGATGCGCCAGGGAAAGATGTTGGCTGAGCAGGGATCAAATGAGATTTATGATATTCAAATGAGCTGGTGCAGTTATGCAAAGGAGCCACAGCATTACTGCAACACACCTCCCCCTTTGCCCGGTCAGTAGAGTCTGCTGTGCCCAGAATCGTGCTGTGGGGAGGGACTATTTGGTGGGATGAGAAGAAGCAGTGCTTCTTGTCTCAGATGTGCTGTGGGGAAGCAGGTCTCAGAGGCTGCCTCGGCTCTGACTGGCCTGGACCACTCCCCGGGAGGGCAGGGCTGGGCCAGGGGAAGCGCCAGGGTCTCCCCTTGTCCCCGAGCTCTCGGGGGCCTGAGGCCTCCTTTTGGCACCTGGGGCGCTTCTCTCTAGTCTGGAGCTCCTGCGAGCATGAAAGTAGCAGTAGCTCCTTTGAGGTCCCTCCGCACCCTGCACATCTGAGCCCCGAACACGTGCACTCATGGCCAGCTCCCCTCGGGTCCAGGAGCCCCCTCTGAAGGCAGTGGACATGTCTGGTCTGAGACAGCACTGCAGCCCTGCTTCTCAGGGGGACTCTCAGGGGTCATGGCCGCCACCGCCACCACCACTATCATCATCGTCATCACGGCAGACAGCTGATGGAAAACACAGGGAGCTCAGATACTGCGAAGTGCAACAGGGGCTCTACAGTAAGGTCAGCCGTCCCTCCACAGCCGCACCAAAGTCAGGTTCCACCCACACACGCTCTCCTGTATACTTTAGACCAGCTCTGGTTGACTTGTAATGCCTGATACAAGCAGTCACTGCGTTGTGTTGGTCTGTGTATGTCCAGTACAGACATTTTTGGTTTCTCCAGTATTTTCACGGTGGTTGGATCCACAGGAGCTAAGCCAGTGGATGCCGAGGGCTGGCTGCAGTTAAATCTTAAAGAGCTAAGCATGGGCTGGAATGCACAGCTCAGGGACTGGCCAGGTTTGGCCCAGAGCTAAGCAGAAGTCCTAGAGCAGAACACGGAGCTGAGACGGCTGTGTCGGGAGGAGGCAGAGTCTGGCTCAGAGTTGGGGTGCTCCACCCGAGTCCCCGTGCAGTTGACGTCCAGGGGCTGGGTGAAAGTGCCTGCCCCGGCAGGTGACACGCTGTCACCCTCAGTGGGCAGGATTAGGAGGTCACTAAGTCGGTGTCTGGGAAAGGGCTTTGAAAAGAAACTTTGAACAGTGCTTAGAGGCTGGGAAAGTGTGAGCCGGGCCATTCGTTCCAACCAGATGGCTTCAAGCTGTCAGTTCCTGGGGCAGGGACAGGAATTCCACCGCCGCCCCTCCCCCTCCCACCCCCAGCACACACACATCTGCCGAGCACCTGGAGGCACTGCACGGTGCGGTCACACAGAGGGAGCCACGGGGCTCCAAGTTGTGGTGTGGGACCCTCTCCTCCCAACTGCAGGCCTGCAGGTCCCCACAACACTCCCAGGACATGGGAGCTCCTAACCCTTGACAGGCAACCGCAGAGGTGACCCCGTGCGTGTCATCAAACCCCAGCCTGGGGGATGCGCCGGTGAGCCGCCAACCCTCCCTCTCTGCACACTGCTTCCCGCCCGGCCTTGCTTTTCTCCTCTGAGGCCTGCAGGTGCTACTTTCCTCTCGGGCTTCCTAGGAGCTAATGGGAAAAGTGCATGGCATCATGCCTGGAACGCAGCGCATGCTCGGTAAATGCCATGGCCGCTCTGTCTCTTCCCCGTCTCTGCCCTCAAAGAGCGAGGGCTTTGGGCTAAGTCATCCATGAACCTGCAAACCCTGGCCAGGGGAAACGGGCAGAGCAGGGGGCAGGCATTTGGCACAGAGGTTAATTGCCACTTGGGACGCCCGTCCCAGGGAGCCCAAGTTTGGGTCCCACCTCCGCTTCTGAGCCAGCTTCCTGCTAATGCTTCCCCTGGGAGGCAGCAGGAGATGGTTCAAGAGCCTGGGTCCCCACCACCTAGGCAGCAGCCCCTGACGGAGCTCCTGCCTCCTCACTTGCACTGGCCCAGCCCTGGCTGTTGCAAGCACTTGGGGGCTGAACCAGTGGGTGGAAGATCTGTCTCTCTGCCTTTTAAATAAAATAAAAATGAATAACGATAAATTAGAGCCGGCACCGTGGCTCAATAGGCTAATCCTCCACCTAGCGGCGCCAGCACACCGGGTTCTAGTCCCAATCGGGGTGCCGGATTCTGTCCCGGTTGCCCCTCTTCCAGGCCAGCTCTCTGCTGTGGCCCGGGAGTGCAGTGGAGGATGGCCCAGGTGCTTGGGCCCTGCACCCCATGGGAGACCAGGAGAAGCACCTGGCTCCTGGCTTCGGATCAGCGCGGTGCGCTGGCTGCAGCACGCCAGCCGTGGCGGCCATTGGAGGGTGAGCCAAGGGCAAAAGGAAGACCTTTCTCTCTGTCTCTCTCTCTCACTGTCCACTCTGCCTGTCAAAATAATAATAATAATGAAATAAAATAACAATAAATTAGAATAAGGACACAAGCAGAGGAGGTCTGGGCAAGGTTTTGGGGGCACGTTTTTTTAGGGGCAGGGAAGCAAGCGACAGAACCATGTGTCTAATCTTATCACTGTGTGGTCCTCGCCCGTGCCTCATTCTCTGGGCATCAACTCGGGAGCCCCTGCCATAGCTGCTTCCTTTTTGTGCTGACTAGTAGAGCCCATTTTGTTGGAGACAGACCAGTGTGACCAGATCCCCTCTGGCCAGTGAGATGCAAGTGTGAGCCCCGGTGGGGACGACAGAGGGAAAATCCTCCCCACCCCCGATGTTGCCCCTCTGACTTCTTATGCCTGAATAGCAGCTGCAAGGCCTGGAGGGGCAGCAACCCTGTTGCCACCATGAATCAACAACAAAGGCAAAGTGAAAAGAAAGAATACAGGCTGTGTGGGCAGGCAGACTTCTTTACCACTTTCTGGCTGTGTGGCCTCAGGGATGTTACTTGACTTCTCAGAGCTGACCTCCTACAGTCTTTAAAATGGGGATCAAGCCCTGACCTTGCACACCTTGTGAGGACTGAGCGGTGCCTGAATAAGACCCCACTTCCCCCACGGTAACCAGCTGCCTAAGGTCTGCAGCTGCTCTACCGACCATACCAGTGGTCACTTTAGGGCCGAACAGAGAAGAGACCCTTTATTTCTCCTCCTGGACAAAGTTCCAAGCCGGCCGCGGGACTCGCGCCAGCCAGCCCCGCTCCCTGGCCGGTCAGCTATGCAAACAGGAAGTGACTGTCCAAACATCTGCAGCGGCAGGAGGCTGGGCCAGGGCCGGTCTCCCTGCAGCTTTGTTCCCTGTCATCTGCCAGCTGTGAGCACCTCAGAAGTCAAGGGCGGGCCCGCCTCTGAGGACAGGGGTCCCAGCCGCCCCTCTGGCTGCCGATCCCAGCTGGGAGAGGCTGGCGACGGCCCCTCTCGGGCTTCTCCCCCTCCCCCACCTCTCAGTCCCCGCGGGAGCCCGGTAATTCTTTATTGAGATGTAAATCGCCCTGCAGCCCCCTCTGCTCCGTGCTTTTCCACGGCCTCAGCTTCTCTCCAGGGCTGGACTGAGCTCCTTGCCGCCTCTTCCCGGCCCTAAACTAAGGACCGGCCTTTGCCAGCCTTTCACCTCCTTCGAGGTCCTCTCTCAGGGCTTGGCCCATACTGCTCCCCTGTTCTAGAAGGCCCCCCTCTGGCTCCTCTCGCGGGGCGACCTCCTATCCTCAGCTCTCGCCATGGCAGAGGCTGAGCCTGGTGCAAGCATGAGGAGGACCCCATCTGCCCACCCCACCGGCGCACTCGCTGGTGGCCGCACAGGGCAGGGATTCCGGCCTGTCTTGGTCATGGTCACATCCCTGGAGCCTTGCCGGGGTGCGGGCAGGCACAGGTGCTTTGCGATTTGGGAGTGAGTGGGCATGTACCGGGCAGGCAGCGTCTCTGGCAGGCAGGGGTAGCGATCTGTTCCACTCCAGAGCAAACAGAGAGCCAGCAACTTGCCCAGATTCACACATCAGAGACTCTGCCAGGTGAACCTTCGTCCCAAGGCCAGCTTCCTGTCCTGGGGGAGCCAGCAGCAGGGGCTCACTATAAATCTGTTTCCTTAAGCGTACAAGAGGAGGCATGAAGGCATCTACCTCACAGGGCTTTGGTGAGGGTTAAATGAGGTTAGCCTTGAAAAGCACTCAGCTCACAGCCTGCACACGGCTGTTACCGTCAGAACCAAAGCCAAGTGTAAGCAGGAATGAGCCCACTCCACTGCAACCCACTAGTGGGCGAACAGGAGGACAGATGGATGGGGCGGTGGGAGAAGAAGCAATGAGTCGACGAAGGATTTAGGGACTGGAAGAGCCGCCTGCGTATGAGCTTTTGAAAGCGGCAGGGCACGACATCGCGGGGGCGAGGGCGCGCGCGCCAGAGGGCTGGGAGAACCGGCGCCTGTTTGGGGCACCTGGGGCCGCCTGCTCCGCGCGCCGCAGCTCACCTGTAGCGCTGCAGCTCCGCCTCCAGCTGCTGCACCCAGCGCCGCAGGCCGGGCACCTGTTGAGCTAGCGCCTCCAGCTCACGCACGCGCCGCAGGCTGCGCAGCACCGCCTGCCGGGCCTCCTCCGCGCGTCGCCGCACCTCGGCCTGGCCCTGGCGCAGCCTCCCCGCTCGGGCCTCGGCCGCCGCCAGGGCGCCCCGCGCCTGCCGCAGCTCCCGCTCCGCCGCAGCCTCGGGCCCTCCGAGCCCCTCTTCGTGGCCGCCCGCCTGGCTCTTCCAAAGGCCGACCTGCGGGGACAGGGCGGCAGGGGGCGGGAGGTGAGCGGCAAGGGCGCGACCGCTCCGCCCTCCCCACGCAGCAGAGGTGCAAGGTGACGGCGCGCTCTGCTCACCCGTAGCAGCACCTGCAGGGCCCGCGATGTCTAAACTCAGTTACCCATGGCAATGGCCCTGAGGAGCCAGAAGCCACGACTTCCACTTGCCCCTCCCTCCCCTCCCGTGTTCATTGCACGGTGCCGGTGGTCCCCACTCGTCACAGCTCTTCTCGGCCTCCCTCCCGCACTGGGGCATTCAACTGTCCTGCCTCCTCGGCCCCAGACTGGAAGCGTGCAGCCCTGGTTCCTTGGGGGCTTGCTGCTAGGTGGTGCCTGGCGCCTGAAACACGCCGGGCACACAGTCGGTGCTCAGGAGACACCTGCGCGTCATCTCAGACCGCCATCTCAGCTCACGTCCCGGGACCTCCCGTTCCACACCACGGGGCCACTTTCTGGCCTCAGCGCGCGCCCCTTCCACACTCACAGCCACTGAAGATCACACACACCGTGCCTCCTTCTGCACTCTGCCCCCTGGGGCCGGGTACTCGCTAACCCAGTCGGCTCCCTCCTGGACTTGGGTCTCCTGTGGTCAGGGCTGTTGCTTGCCTCCCGGGACTTGTAGCCAAAGCACGGCACGGGCACGTGGCTGGGCATAGTGCACAAGTGTGTGTGGGCCGATTCCGGGTACTGGGGCTGGAACTAGGCCCAAGGCTCCCCCTAGGGCTCCTTCTTTATGGCCCTTGGTGGCCAGCGACTGCCTGACCCACAGCGTTAGCCACCCTATTTCCCACTTGGGCTCCAGCTCTGGCCCCACGGCAGCCCCATAAGCATCTGAGGAATGACGGAAGGAGCTGTCCACCCCGACAGGGAGCTCTGTAGGGCTGGGTTAAGGGTAGGGATAAGGCATTCTTCCATCTAAATCCCCTGTTAGTCCTGCAGGAAGGAGAGCCAAGGGTGCTTGCTAAATAACAGAGCATGTGGGGACCCCCCAAAAACACCCTATGGCTTCTATCTCGAGGTCAGAGGAGGCAAGACAAAAGAGGCGGGGGAGAAAGGAGTGGGGTGGCAGTCCGTGTGCGACCGAGGCTTTAGGAAGTGAAACAGGTGAGAAGGCTAGGGAGATGGGCGTGGAATAAAGAGGGACAGGGACAGTACACGAGCGGGTCTAAGTGGGGTGGGGTGGCGGAGGGCGGATCTCGGCGCCCGGTTCCCCATCCTCCGCCAATCTGGGCCGCGCAGGTGCACCTCCGCTGCCCAACCCAGCCTTCCCCACCACGCGGTCCCGCGGCCGGCAGCGCGCACCTGCAGCGCCAGGCAGCGCGCGTCGCTGCTCTGCAGGGCGGCGCGCAGGTCCTCCACCAGCTCGCGCAGGCTGCCGTTCTCCTCCTCCAGGCGCGCCACGCGCTCACCGTCGGGGCCGCCGTCGGGGCCGGGCTCGCGGGACGCGCGGCGGCGGCGGCGCGGGCGACGCAGGCGGATCTGAGTCTCGATGTGCTCGCTGAGGGCGCCGCGGGGCAGCCGGGCCCCAGCCCGGGCGCCGAAGTAGCCGCAGAGGCGCGCGTGGAACTGGCGGAAGGTGAGCTCGGGCGGCTCGGCACACAGCGCCAGCCGCGCCTCCTCCTCCACGTCCGCGTCCCCCTCCCCGGCGCTCACATCCCCAGAGTCCGCGCCTCCGGCAGCCGCGTCCTCGGCGGCTTCCGAGCCTGCCGGGGACCCCTCGGTGCGCAGCCCCAGCACCGCGCAGAGCGCGCGGAAGTCGGCTCGGGGCAGGCGGCCGGCGCCGCGGCAGTCCAGGTGGTGGAAGACCTCCTGCAGGTACTGATCCAGGCCGGTTGCCAGCACCACGATCTCGTTCTCCACGCCGCGGTCCAGCCCGTAGTGGTGCGCTAGGGCGCTCAGCAGCCACTGCGTGCGCCGCGCCGGCCGCCGGTACGGGTCACCCGCCGGGCCCTCCATGCCGGCCTGCGCGCGGGGACCTCGCGGCTCCAGCGCCGCGCCGCGGGTCCCTCCTCCGGGCCCTCCGTCCTGCCACTCCCAGGGGCGGCTCCAGAAGGAGGGGCTTTAGCAGTCGCGGTCCGGTTGGAGCCGCGCCGGGGCCGCTGGCTTCGCACCGAGCTTCTGTGCAGTGTGCCGGGAGAGGGGGCTCGGGAGTCTTCGGGATCCCCCGGGTTCCGCTCCTGCCCGTGCTCAGCCCGCCTCGGTGTCCGCTCTCAGCTTGCCCCGCATCGGCCTTTTCCCTCCCGCTCCGCCGCGGCACTCCTTTCGGGGCCGACAGCCTGGGACGCCGGGTGCGCTCGGGACGCGGGGCCCGGGAGGGGCCGGGGTGCGTGCGCTGCGCCCTCGCGCTTCACGCGTGTCCTCGGAAAGCCCTTCGAGGCGGGCCCAGCAGCGCCGATCGAGTCGGGGTGGTGCTGCGGGCGCGGGGCTCGGGCTGCGTGGCTCAGGCTGGGGGGGGGGGGGGGACAGGATAGCGCCCCGCCCCGGCCCCTCGTGCGGGGGCTGCTCCGCCGCCCCGGGGCCTCCGAGCAGCGACTGCGCTGGGCCGGTGGCCGGGCTCGGGATCGCTTCTCACGGTCGCACCGCGAGGGGCCCCCGGCTGCCTCGGCCGCCCGCGCTTGGCGGGGGCAGCGGGGTTGACAATGGCGCCGTCAGGCCCGTGTGCACGCCCGGCCTGTTACCAGGCGCCCGTGGAACTATTCCGGCTGGATCCAGGAGGTTTTTGTTTGAGGTTCAGAGCGGGCAAAGTCAGAAGTCTCCCCGCGGTCCTTTGTTTGAGCTGGGGGAGGGGAGGCGGCTGGTGCACGGGGACAATCCAGGCCTGGGGATGGAAATGAGTGGCCCAGGGCTGCTCAGTCTGGTCGGAGCGGGGCCACGCGCTGTGTTCACAGAGTTTCCAGAGTCTGGGGAAATTAAAAAAAGAAAGAAAGAAACCCGCCTCCCTGCCACCTGGAGAGGACGGCGGTGCACTTCTGATGCGTTTCGTTCCAGACTGTTCCATGCATTTGGGCAGGAAGGAACTTTGCTGGTGATGCAAATGCCCTTTCTGGGGTGGAAGGGACATGACTGTGTCCGCCGAAACACGGAAAAGGCGCATTTCTTACAGTGTCAGGTGCCCGACACTGAACGTGACATCAGCCAGCACAGCTCCCTGCCCGGGAGCCCTGCTCCTAACCAGCTTCGCGCTCCCCAGCGGCTCTGCAGCCAGCGCACCTGAGGCTGCTCCGCGGCGCCCTCTCCTGGCTGGACGCGGAGGTGCGGAGGTAAATCCACCCTGGGCCCGTTTGTTTGCTCCACGTCCTGAGTGACTTGTGAGTGGGGACTTTTTGTAGGCTCTTGCTACGCCAGATGGTTTTTCTGAAAGTTGCATCATTTTACGCAGTCCCCAGATGTGTCTGGAAATGTCCTTGACCTGTTATTCTGTGTCACAAGCTTTTGGATGTTCGGGAGGCTTGATCAGTGGATTTGTTTCATGTTGAGACACCAAGCTTTACTTTCTATTAAAATGGGCCTCTGTTAGGCGAAGATTGTTAGGTGCAACACCAATTGTATGGCCCAAAGAGAAAAAAATGAAATAAATTGGACCTTGTCGAGATTTAAGACTTCTACACTAGAGAAGATATGAAAAGACAGGGACCAGTGTTGTAGCACAGTGGGTTAAGCCACCACCTGCAATCCTGGCATCCCATATGAGGACGGTTCCAATCCCCGCTCCTCTACTTCCTATCCAGTTCCCTGCTAACGTGCCTGGAAAAACTGCAGTAGATGACCCAAGTACGTGGGCCCCTGCCTTTTACGAGGGAGATCTGGATGGAGTTCTAGGCTCCTGGCTTCAGTCTGGCCCAGCCCTGGCAGTTGCAACCATTTGGGAAGAGAACCAGTGGGTGGATGGAATATCTCTTTCTCTGTCTCTTTCTCTCTCTCTCTCTCGCTGTCTTTCTGCCTTTCAAGTAAGATAAAGCTTTTAAGACAATAAGAAAATGAAAAGAGAAAACGGATAATGGGAGAAAACATTTACAAAATGTATGGCACATCAAGGACTTGTTTTGGGGTTGACAATAAACTTTTTCAACTAAATCCTACGAAGACAAGTGATCCAGTCTCCAAGTGGGTGATCTGCCTTCCCACATGTCCTCACTGATTGGTGGAAGCTACAGAAGTTCTCATCCCACAGTACAGAGTGCAACAATGCTTAGCGGGGGTTGTGGAGTGGGGGAGGGTGCTGGCATGTGTATTTTTTTATTTTTAATTTTTTTTATTTTTATTTTTGACAGGCAGAGTGGACAGTGAGAGAGAGAGACAGAGAGAAAGGTATTCCTTTGCCGTTGGTTCACCCTCCAATGGCCGCCGCGGCCGGCGCGCTGCGGCCGGTGCACTGTGCTGATCCGATGGCAGGAGCCAGGAGCCAGGTGCTTTTCCTGGTCTCCCATGGGGGTGCAGGGGCCCAAGCACCTGGGCCATCCTCCACTGCACTCCCGGGCCATAGCAGAGAGCTGGCCTGGAAGAGGGGCAACCGGGACAGAATCCGGCGCCCCGACCGGGACTAGAACCCGGTGTGCCGGCACTATTTTTAATTTTTGACAGGCAGAGTTAGACAGTGAGAGAGAGACAGAGAGAGAGTTATAGACAGTGGGAGAGAGACAGAAAGAAAGGTCTTCCTTCCGTTTGTTCACTCCCCTAATGGTCGCTACGGCCAGCGCTGCGTCGATCCAAAGCCAGGAGCCAGGTGCCTCCTCCCGGTCTCCCATGCGGGTGCAAGGACCCAAGCACTTGGGCCATCTTCCACTGCCCTCCCAGGGGGCCACAGCAGAGAGCTGGACTGGAAGAGGAACAACCGGGACTAGTACCCAGCACCCCAACCAGGACTAGAACCTGGGATGCCGGCGCCGCAGGCAGAGGATTAGCCAAGTGAGCCACAGCACCGGCCATGCCATGTGTATATGCTATGTATATGCTATGTATATGCCACTGTGCTGTGACTCTGGGGAACCCAAGGCAATCGGTATTTTAATTATGAGTACTAAGACTAGTACTTTGACATCCCTCAACCCATTTTGAGCTTTTCCTTGTAACACAAGTTGTCCCTGAGCCATGTGGCTGGCAGAGAACAAGGAAGCTGGGTACAGTGTTATATATTAATGTTAGCCGTTGCAAAACACACCAGTCACCGGAGTAAGGGAAAGGGTTTATTGGGGAACACCCTACAGACCGGAGTGAAGGGGCGGCGAAGGAAAAAGAGTGAAAGTATAAGAGAGAGAGCCAGAGGAGAGGAGCTAGCGAAGACAGAATATAGAGCAGAGAGCCCAGAGGAGGAGGCTGGAGAGAGGAACCGAGAGAGCGTAGGAGAGAAGGGCTGAGAGAGCAGGGAGCAGAGCCAAGAGAGCAGTGTGCAGGAACAGGCCCTGTTAAAACTTTGCCTGAGGGCGGGCAGGGAAGCAGGAGCAGTGAATCCCATTAGGATGGGGGTGGAGCCTGGCTCAGGTAGCTGGGCCATGCGGACACCTGGCTAAAACTGTGCCAGCTTCTTAACATACAACCCCTGGCCGACTGCTAGCCACGTGGGCAACCGTGCACCAGCGTGCAGTGAGACAGTTTGGCTCTATGACTTCTCCCTGCACGGGTGACATCTGGAAGCTAAGACAGTACACCTTCCAGGGCAATAAATACTCATGCCTTCAAACTGCCATTTTGATGTGGCTAGGGGGTCTCCAGGCCCTCTCTGTAGTCCCACCCCGTACTGCACCTCTTCCTGCACTCCCAAAACCTGACTCCCTCAGAGCTGGTGCTGGCCAAAATTAGCCAACGTGGCTGCCAACTGCGTCCCAGCAATGACTTTTAGCTAATTATGATGTCATTATAATACAGTTCCCACGCTGACACTCCTACCCTCTTCCTGCACCTAACACCGTGACACTTCTGAGATTTCCAAAATAGGACCGAGAAGTGGGCAATACCCAAACTACACCTCCCAGAGTAGTCAATGAATCCCCGCCCACACACCCCTCCCTGTGCCTCCAGGTCCTATGAAGGGATGGCCCTGGGCCCCCTCTGAGTGCGGCTCACCCTGGAGTAAGCTCACTCCAGAGTGGGTGCCTCTGCTTCGGCTTTGCATGCAAATCAGCCTTGTTTCTCAGCTGACCTTCATCTGTGTCTCATCCTTGAGTTCTTTCTTGCATTTTAGACAGGAACTTGGACCCAATCACATCTCCCTGTGACTCCACTCTGCAAGAATTTGTCCTGAAAAGCTGTTGGCTGCTGGAGGCCGTGCTGGGGTGAGAAGCCCCTTCCTTGACCACGGCGGGTTGATGGCCGCCGGACCCCTGCAGAGTCACCTTTCTCCGAGGGTGCTCCGTGTCTGGTTTATCCCTAGCCCTCTGAGGCTCGAATAACTTATCTGTTTTCCCCTATCTTTTCCTGTATTCCTTTTAGTTACCCTGCGTTTGCATGGACTGCAGTAAACTGAACAATTCAGAAAATATCTTAGTCCCGCTTGGCTTTTCGTTTATTGAAGGGTAGAAGCACTGCCTCTCCTACAGTCCTTGAAGATGAAATTCAAGATCCTTAAGGCTAAAGTCCTGTAGGTGTTGGGGAAACACGGCCGACCTGGCTGGTCCAGTTTGCCAGGGAGGTGGAGGGGCGATGGCTGATGGGTGCAGGGATGCAGTCGGTCAGGAGGAGTAACTTCCGGTGTTTTGTAGCACGGGCAGGGAACTGGAGCCGACGACGGTGATCACATATGTAGCGATGGTGTCCTTACTGAGGGGCCCAGGGGCAGGTGCATCCTGGTAGATGCGCCGTGGGCATGTCTTAGCACTTTGGGTTTCTATAGCGGTCCCCAGGCTGCTGGGGCTGGGGCGTAGGTGGGTGGCAATGGCTGTCTCTGGCCCGAGCCCCCTCCCCACGGGATGTGCTGTCCTGGCACAGCTGCTCTCTGCCCAGTTTTCACATTGGCCGAGCCCGAGCAGTACCGGAAGGCCCCAGTGGGTGTGCAGGATTCTGGAAGGGCCATCCCATCCTCTGGCCCGGGAGGTGTCCCTGGGAGGCTCAGGCCCTGGGTTCCGCCACTGAGCTCTGGGACCCAGAGTGGATCCTGTAAGAACCCAGAGCGTCAGTTTTCCCCACAGCCATGTGGGTGTGGAACCTCAGCTCCTGTTTCCCTGAGCCAAGAGCCGAGTGGGGCCACTCTCCCTCCACAGAAAACTTGCCACAGGCTCCCCAGTGCCACGGGCTGCCTGCCCTCCAGGCCGTGTAGCAGGGGCCCGGCCCAGGCCTACAGCATCATCATCCCTTCCTTGTGCTTGCCCTGGGCTTCCTCCCTCCGGGCCTTTGCACCTGCTATTACCCTGCTGGGCACGCCTTCTCTGGCCCTCACTGCCTGGCAACCCCGACCTTTGGCTCTAGTCACCTGTGCCAGAGAGCCTGCACCCGACCCCCCCCCCCCCCCCAGCCTCTCGGCTCTTTGCTGCTGCGTGTGCTCCTTTGCGTGGGAGCAGTAGGCGGGCTCTCAGTGTGTGTGTGGGGGGGGGGGGGAGGGGGAGGTGCTGCAGGTGAGCCCAGGCCTTGGAGTCGGGCAGTCTTGGTTCCCCTCCAGTGCGGCTGCTAACTTGCTGTGTGGCCCTGAGCCATCGCTTCACCTCTCTGAGCCGTGTGCTCTCTGAGTTGGGGCTCATGCTCTATGCCGGGAATTCTCGCCCTCTCCTAAGCACATCAGCGACAGAAGCATTAAGCCCAAGGAGGGCGGCTGTGGGCGATCTGACTTGGGGGCGCCCAGCCCTTCCCCTACGGGGAGCCAGCGAACTCCTCTTCCTCACGCTGCAGGGCAAGGTCGGGCGTATACAGCCGGCGCTGCCGTTCAGAGCTGGAGCTGCTGCAAGACCGAATCGTTGAACGAGTGCACGAGTTAACGCAACTGGGTTCCGAATTTGGAGGCACCTGCT